TTGAACTTGAATGGGAAGTCATATACTGGCAATCTAAGTGTGACCTTGAAATTGACCTTTGACCTACTTATAATCATGAACTGAACTCTGCTAATTTCTTTCTCTTTTAACTCCAAACCTGGCAGAGATAGGTCCATAGTTACTATTGAAGTTGAATAGGAAGTCATATACTGGAAATTTACTGTGACCTTGAAATTGACCTTTGACCTACCTTACAATGAACTTAACTTTGATTGTACCATTTTAAGTTATATATATTTTTTGCGTATTTTGAAAATTCTTGTTGATTGCATTTTACAGCTTGTCAAGCATAAGACTAGTGGCTGTGTCCCTTATTTTGCGGATGTGGGGGTCTATACGAATGCGCTTGCTCCAGCTGGTGGTACAATATTCGGAGGCGGTATCGCCTCTCTGATCCTCTAGTTTTTCATTACATTCAGAAGTCAAAGTTTTGTGATAGTGGCAACTGTTTCCTCCTCAAGCCAGTAGACGTGTTAAATCTTGGGCCCTGCAGGGCTAGTAGGCATAAAAACATGTGGCACTGACTGATATTCTATAACTTATTTTGCTTCCTACTTTCCAGAGTATTACAGAGATTCCAATAGTTACAGCAATGACAGTGGTGCCAGCAGCGAAAATCATCAGTAACAATACAATAACATCATCATCAGGGGCAGTAACAATCCCAACTACTACAACAACGACTTTCAATCCTTATTTACCAGGGCCCCCTTACGGACCTCACTCAGCATCAGGGAGCACTTTATCGCCAAAAAATAAGACATTAACTGATGGAGTTGGGATCCCAGATGTGAATGATGCTGTGTGTGAACATATAATTACAACATATATTATACCAAATTTTCTGCATTTTGTTGCATTTGTTATGGGATATTTCTACTTTCGTATCCAAGACAATGAGCAACTGTATGCTTTGATGGAGAAGGTAAGAAAAATGAGTTATGTAACAGTCTTTTTTTCTCTTGTTTAAATACTGCAATTTAGCCATCTCTGTTTCAACTTTGCTAAATGATGTTATATATAATGACTCCAACATTTGATGGTTGATATGTATTTGAAACTTCTTTTTTAAAAGTACACATTGCAAGATATGATAATTTTTTTCAGAAATGATTCTGATTTTAATGATATTTGTTTTTCTTTGTTTTTTGGAAACTACAGAAATACTGTCGAGAAAATTCCCCAAAAAAATCTTATAATGCAATATTGAATTATGTTCAATTTCTTCATGTTTATTTCAGGTGTTTCTCCAAGCTGGCCCATCACAGGGCAAAGTGGCATCACAATCAAATATGATCAAAAGACTGAGGTAGGGAATCTTATTAAGTGTTTATTTTATTTTATTTCTCAATTTTTTTGTGTTTTTTATTATGTTTTTATGCAGCATCGCTTACCTGTTTCTTTTATCTATGGTGAATAAAGAAATGAGAAATTTCAATTTTTCTATACTTTTTTCTTTTATCTTTTTGTATTTCTTGTCTTATTTTATCTGCAGTCTAAGATTTTCACTCTTGGACAAAAAAGGTAATACATGACAATCCATGACTTCTACTTACACATTGAAAAATCATATCTGTTTTGTTTCTGTATTTTGTTACAATATCTATATGCGTAATATTTGTCTACTTATATCAGGTTATTCCTAGCTCTGGGTGCAGTGTGGGTGCTGGCAGTCATGGCTCTGCAGGTGCTGTTTGTTGCAGTGTTTGGAATTGACCAGAGAAATGTGCTGTCCAGGGCTGGGTGAGTGGCTGACAAGCACTTGTTCCACCCTGAAGTCAGATTCGATTTATCCCCCTCCCCTCTCAAGCTCTCTCTCTCTCCCCCTCTCAAATGGGAATGACTGAAAATGTATGAGAGGAGTTGGGCATATGACATAAAAGCTTTTGTTACATGGAAAAGCATGCACAAAATTAGATTCAGAATTAAACTGAAAGTAGATTTTTCAAAGTCACTTGTCTGAAAAGACTCGTCACAATTTGGGCAGTTTAGATTGATCTTTCACTGTTACTGTATTTTTTCTTTGGCCTTAAAATTTTGATTTCCACTTGTAGTTGCCTGAGTTTCACCTAATGCAAGAGACCAGTACTCTGAACAGTTTTAGGCTTTTATTCAAAACTGTATAAGGTATTCATATTAGTCTGTTCCTCCATCTTATTTCAGAACCCTGGGCCAGTGGATCCTGTTTGGCATCGAGCTGGTGGGAATTATTATTGTGAACTCTGTGAATCTAGCAGTGATAATAAACTTTGCTACACAGTGTGAAATGCTGATATTCTTCATCAAAGGAATCAGTACAAAACTGCAGGAGAAATCCATGGATTTGAAGTCAGCTATGAAGGTTTGTTATAACACCTATTAATAAGTTGAATATTATGACTTTATCTTTTTTTATATTTTTTTTTCTAAAGTATTGTTTACCTGTTCTTGTGGTTTAATTATTTTCATTTTTTCGTACCAAATGGTGAAGTTTTATTTTTTTAAATCAGGGAATGATTGACCAATTTGTTTTTTTTTTAATCAAAGCAATTTACATTTTGTATTAAATAAATGCTTAATATGTTACACGAGTATTTGTTTTGATTTATTTGCGTGATTTTGATACAGTAAGCAAAGGGTTGGTATTCTCTATGATTGTGCTGGTTGTGCTGTATCTCAACTAACACAATCAATGTACTTGAAGTCCGTAAACTTTTGCACATCCAGACACAATGCATTGTTTTATTCTATTCTACAAGACAATTTTCAAATTGCTTTGTGCAATTTTATAATTTGAATTGACAGATTTTTCATTAATTATTTTTAGTCCTCATGTTTACAATCCTTTATCAGAAGCATACAAAATTCCAGTTGTTAGATTATGAAATCTTGTAGATAGATAGTTAATATTAATTATATACAACATCTTCAGATTAAATATGCTCATTTCTCATTTCAAATCCAGCACAATTTCATATTATGAAAAATATTTCTACCAAAGATGAAAATTTCTTATGCTTTTAATATTGCATAATCAAAAATCAATCAATTTATTATTTAAATTGTGTAATCTTGCAGGATGTCCTGATGGTCAGACACTCCATAGGGTCACTGAATGGACCCATGTCACAGATGACCTCTCTGGCCGCTATAAGGTTTGCTGAACTGACCATCATTGGTAAGTCTCAGAGACCATTTGTCACCCTCAC